ATATCGTCAAGGAAGTTGGAGCCGTCAGGGACTAATAAAGGCTTGTTATGCAGAATTTTACTGGAGCATTGCACTGCAGCGGTGCGCACTGTAGGATAATTAAGGGTCGGTGACCCGGTGCAAAGCTCACAAAGGGAGCTAGTGCTAAAATTCAACCTCCTACTGAACACGAGTACGGGAAATGTGCTATTCAACCGTTACTAGTCATATTTTTAGCCCTAGTCAATAGTACTATAAATAATATTCATGGTTCTGTAACTACTAATAATCCTCGCGTAAATCGTGTTCTTTGTGTGGAAACGTCTGAAACAATGCGTAAAGTTCAGTTACTTATCTTCTTTACTGTAGTTATCTGTTCGACCTTCAACTCTTATGGAACAATGCTCACTTTGTTGCTCAATTCATCATTTAGGAAAAAAGTCTACCAACTCCGTTCTTTGTGCAACGGTCAATACTCCATGTGTTCAAAAGATGTTTGGCTATTCAGGAGACGATAAGATTTTTAAAGAGTAGGTTTTAGCTTCGCTGTAATTAGCCATAACAACGAAGAAGTAACAGTTATTTGGTTAATGAAGCGATCTTCAAATAAAATAGTAATAACTACGTTTGAATCTTCTAGTCTACACAATACGTCGTACATTGATTGTGGTGCCTTTTAAGGATTTTCCTCCCCAGCCTACATTTCTAAGAGTTCAAGTAGCTATGTGATGTCACATGGTAAACGCATCGGCATTCAAGTGTCAACCCGGGTATTGTCCAAAACAAGTTGGCCCTGTTCCCGACTTGGTTTTTGTTCAGATACGTGAGACTCCACGGCGCGTCTTAACGAGCATCAAACCAGTTCCACATATCATCGCGTCATGCCAAATCTGGTAGTAAATACTTCGACACTCCGTTTGTTCTCGTGGTTTTTCATTGCATCGAAAACAAGATTACAGTTTGATGGACAGTTATCGTTGACAATTTTACAAAATGGGTCTTAAAATTTAAATTCTTCAGTGAACCGTATGGATCCCCTGATCGCTATCATCTGTAATTATGGACTTTCACTTGTCTGTTAATGTGACCGATGCCATAGTAATTGGTTTCGAACAAGAAACAGCCAGATTGGCGAAATTATTCTCATTATAATGCCAAAGTTGGATTATAAAAAATAGTATCACGCGAGACTTTCCTTTCACGTTCTTGGAACGTAACCCGCTAATTACTGAGTTCATCGGTCTCAAGTTACATTGAAACCGATTTAAGAAGACCATTAGACTATTTATCATCGTCGACTAATACAGTAAGACAGCCTGCTTCTTTTTATTTCGTAACCACTCGAGCAGAAGTTGCATGATGGTAATAAACAAATCTGTCTGTTGGTTAAACAAGACTAATAGTGGCAGAGGAAAAATGAACTTTAAAAATGGGCTTACTGATAAAAAAATGCTAAACGAAAATACGATAATAATGTGACTTGAAAGGAACTATTTAAAATTTTTGAATAAGAGCAGCAGCAGATACTTATACATGTAGTTAATAACAAATTGATAATTTTGCCTCGCAGATTACAAATATAATTATAAATAACTAATTCAGTGACAATCGCTCTACTCTTGTAGATATTTCAACTTCGAGTAACTAGTAACGCTCCCTGACCGCCTTTGCACTTCAACTTTTTAATATTTTACTGATGCAAAAATATTGCAACGCGGTCAGATAAAATACTTATCCAAGTGAAACAGGTTAAAACGGAAATCTAGGCACCGATTTAATGAATCGCATCCGTAGCTGTCGCAACCAGCGACAGACAAGTAAGCTTCTTAGGACGTAAGTAAGCAGTCTCATTAATCGGTAACTAACTATAAGGGAACGAGCGTATCTGCGGCTGATTTAAAGGACTTCTTCCTGCCAATCTTCAATAATCACTTTGCAATAAGAGGGCAATTTGTTTCGGTACAACATAACCGTATTAAAGTCTTAAGGACAGCTCTCTTTATCTTGATCTGTCTCAAAACTTCTTCATGTAATTAGAGATAACAAGTTTTGTGTATTTAAAATAAATGTGTGGAGATTGCTATACATTGCTGTAAATTGCATTATTAACAAATGTTGACTCGCATGATTCGATAAAACTTATCCTGTAACCTGCAATATTTTAATAATAAAACTCATTATAACAGTTATTTTATATTATTACAGTCATCTAGCTCACTATTCAACTTTTAATGTTATGTGATGTCTATTGTAAATGAAGCTAAAAAGCTCTACCAGGTTGATACCAATGATGACCGTTTCCAAATACCTCTAAAACGTGATAGGGAATGAAGATAATGATACCGATAAAGTATACAGTGTACATCTGTTTGCTGATGTGAACATGTTAAATGTTGATAGCGAATGATCGACTAACTTTACGAACTACTACTAACTACATGATTCTAAATAGGATTCAAATAAAACATTACCAGCACCTTTTCTTTTCCAATTACGGTTTCTATAATGTTATGTTTATCTTCCCAAAGTCACATACGCTTGTTAGGTAAACGCAGTTTGCCTCGACGACGATACGACACGCAATCTTTATCGAGAAGCTGTAGTACCGAGCGACCTTTGTCGGTTAGCTAGTAACTATGCCGTGACTTCAGACAATTAGTTCGAACGTTATCTAGATCTCCGTGTTATTGGTTTTGTCAAGCCTGCAACGTTTAAGAATTGATTAGAGATATCTACGGTTTGTTTTCTTTTTCAGTTTATTTTTGGTCAACGGTTTTAATAAATGGAAAGCGGATAATATGTTTATTGCAAAGAGGTTGGTTGAGGTGCATTGAATTCCCTACGTTATTAAAAGGTATGAGCTAACTACTTTTCTGTAATAAAACATCGAGACGAGACTATTGACATTTCCGTACCTAAGTATAAACTCGACCATATTTGGGGCGATGGAAATTAGTTCAGCAGATGCATTGACAAATAACTAGGTACTTACTATATCAAAAAACCGAAACAAGATTCTATTACAATTTATAATGTAATGCACCAGTAAACACAATGGCTTTCATTTTCACTATTAACAATGGCTACTGCATGCAACAGTGTACTTTTTTGGGAGCTGTGTAAAGACATGGTCAAATGAGTAAAACCCTGTGGAACTTTTTTAAATAATAATATTATGCAATATAATAGGACACTGAATGGATTGAAGTAGTGTTGATGTTGATTGTTATTGTTGTCTTTTAGAAATAGCATACAGTTTCGTAGTTACACGCAACAGGTAACGAGTCATTTGTCATTTTCTTTTTGTCTTATTCTTGAGAGGAATCCAATATCTGTATTACAAAGGTGATTAGTTATAGATACCTAGCAACCTATTTTACATTTAAAACCATGCTACAAATGGTTAGAGTTATTTAATTGCGGTCAGTACGAGTCTTTTATTACAATGACGTCATAATGTAGGAAGGTACTAGACATCGAACACCCACCAGCAATCTAGAGTGTTTTTATCTACCTATTCGATAACATGAGTGGAGTCCACAGGTTTTAGTTCTGTGTAAAATCCTGATAAGTACGAAGTACTTACTTAGTTAGGAAAGAAAACAGTTCGCTTGCTTTTTAATCAATAACGGTTAAACCTGTTCCGTACGTGCAGGGGTTATAAGTAAAGTGGATTATTTAATACTTCGCCAATTTATTTTAATGAGTACCTACGTATACGGTAGACTAACTGCGGTGTAAGTTTGACTAGGTAGGTACATACCTATACCTAATTGTTTAGAAGCACAGATATGGACTATCTATATCTGTGTTTACAAGTGAATAAGTAGTGTCGTCTGTCAAGTTGATCATAGAAAAATGTTGTTTATAAAAAACATAAACATGTGACGCGCTAGGGGTAAATTAACATGAGAATAGACAAACAGCCGACAGGATGTCGACGTAAAAAATAGAATCGACTGTTTTATAACATCGAGCAAAGTAGATCATACCCATGGTTTATTGTTTTTAACAGTTAGGTACTTCCATTGTTACGTTTTCGTTAATGCAAAAAGATTATAATCTTCACAAGCACCTACCTACATTACAATGGGTTCAATAACACCCATTCAAATAAGATACCAACCACATACATTTACTATTCTCTCTGTAGCCTGATTGAAAATGATAATATCAAAACCTTCTCACCCGTTGCATCTCAACGAGCTCTTCATGACTACCAAATAGGTTGCTTATCAATTCAACTCTTTGGTTTAATAGCGCGGTTCCATCGACAATCTCTACATCTAACGCCAGATCATTAAAAAAACATTGGGATAATCAATGCTTCGTCCTTGTTTCACTTTAGTCCCTTTGTAATTCCTGTGGAGAGGTTGCATTCTCTCGGCGGCGTGGCGGGGCCGCGCGCCTTGCTGCGGCCACTAAGGTGCAAGCTTGCGCGGGACTGTGTTACGTTTGAGACTTTAACTTACTTAATGCCAATGAAACGACCTACGTCTTTGTATTCTCAATTTCCAACTTAAGTTATGACCTCAGACAAGTTATATTGGTTGCATTTTGAACAACCGTATATTTACATTTGCACTAAAACCTGTTTAACTTCCCGCCTTAATATCTTTTCGAAATTATCTTAGGTTAGAATTCAAGTGAGACCTGAACAAAGTTAGCCCGAATAGTCGAAGAGTTGTATTTGTTTTGGTACAATAACAAACGGTATTTTCTCAAATATAAACGATGATGTACGAAGTAATCATAGCAAGAATATAGGACAAACGATAAATAAACACTGTATTATCAGTACAGTACCGATAAAGTAACTGGACGTCTTACTAACCTGATGGCTCGGCGCAGTCGCTCATAATCCAAGCTGCATTTTAACCTCAAAAGACACCAATAGCACAGTCACGAAACACGAAGGTCACGGTTATGTTATATTGCATAATATCACTAAGCCTTTACACCAGGAATTTAAGAGATTTACAAAAAACAATACACGACCGAGGATTACTGTTAATCTGTTATCATAAACACACGAATGCACTGTTCGATGCACGTTTATAATTCAACAAACGACGCGAGTATCCATTCAAGACTCCATCAAATCGCATATTTGAAGAGTTATCTAAATAATACAAGCACCAGTGACGACTCGATGTCATAAGTTTTATGCAGTTTACGAATAAACATGTCACAGCCGTGCACTGCACTCCGTCTGACACGACGAATATGGCGGATGAATTTGAACTACGCTTGCGCGACGAGGAGCGAACGCCCGTTGTTCGCCGAGCCGGCAGGTACAAAAACATGGGCGTGCGTGCTGCCATCTATGGTTTTTATTGTGAACTTTTCAGAAAGACGCACGTGTTATTTTGAATAGGTAGTTCGTAATATATTTAATAGAGGGCAGTAACCTTTGTTTGCTTCGTATTGTTTTTAGAAGTTACGGATTTTTTGAAGTGGGAGAAATTAAATACAATTGTAACTTGTAGATTTTTTATTATTATTGTCTACAATGAAATAATATCTATTTATGATCTTAGTGTTCAAACTCTCACAAAATTAGCTGTACCCAAGTATAAATTGTAACTAGTATCTCTATTTACCACGCAGTAGAAATAAAATTATTCGAAACCCAAAGGACATTCTTGTAATAAAAAAAAACAGGAAGACTGAAGAAATCAAAAACTATGATAGTAGATAGTAGGTAAAAAGAAGGAATAAAAGTAAAAATATAACATTAAAAGTGTGTAATAAAAGTAGTCGTGTAGTGTAGGTTCATTTATCACAAAAAAAATCAACCAAAAATCCGCACAATCAATACAATAAAATCTTTATTTTAATTATTTACATCTGGCTGAATACATTTCTATCATAATAGACACCATACCAAAAGTAATTAGTCAAACAATGCACTTAAAGAACAATTTATTTTCTTCTAGTTCTATGTCTTAGGGCTAGAACGGCTAGGCTGTGGAATGCGAGGTACAGAATGAAGAGAGCCAGGACATCCATCCATAGATTACTGCTTTGGAAGTCGTAAGTTGTCAGGACCTCTTCACCGGTGCTCAGGCACGGCATCCCAGCTTCACTGGAAATACAAGCTGTAGAAGAAAAAGAAGTAAAAATTAAAAAAGTGCTAGAAGTCAGGCAATTCATCATTTAGCCAATTTAAACCGAAATGCTTAGTATTTTACGTCGCATTTGGCGGTAAGTTTATTAGACATAAGTAGGTATTTTATTTTATCTTTATAAGATCCGATTTTTTCTGTAATTTATTCTTTTAGGTACGAACGTCATTTTGTTTTATTTTATACCTAAATATTATTATCTGTGACAAGAGTTCGATTACATTGCAATAAAAAAATCTAAATGTCAAGAGGTGAACGACCTTAATCTGTCAAAATGCTTGCTTCAACAACCAGGCGCCGTCCAAATCTTGTTTAACAACTGGTTTTTAAGTAATAAAATAAGATATTTCTAAACGGAACAGCGATTTTACTGTTTCTAAATACACTTATTGTTCTTTTTTTTTTGCTACATTTACCTGGTAGACCCTTTTTATTGCGGAGGATCCCAGGTCAGGCGCCATACTGGCCTACCTGGCTTGAAAGTAGTTTAAAAAAAACATAGAACAGGTGGTCGGTACTTAGCAGGAAGTGTTAAAAAACTGAAGAATCATTGATTTTTAATAGTTTTATTAAATCGTAGATTCGATCATTCGAGTTGAAATTACGGAATATCAGCCTTATTGCTACAGACATAAAGACCACTTTTATCAAATTTCTGAAATGTTAGTCGTAATCTCAATGAATTTTCTGTGGTTTCAAAAATATGTTGTCTTTTCTGCTTTAAAAACTCATTAATTGCACTTAGTGCATCAATGAGGAATCTATTTTTAGTTGTAGTCTTCTAAAATTGTAACTAATGTCTAATTGAGAATGCTACATATCGAAATAGTTATTGATATATTGCCAAAATACCTTGGCTGACTATTAATATAACGCTAATATTATCCCACCTGAATTTTAACTTGTAACGTCATTCGAAACTTTAAAAAAACTGGCACCTGTTAAAAAAATCTAGTTTCTAAGTTTGTTTCATAGATGGCGACACAGTGCTTAGCTTCCAATAAATACCCACACAACGTTATTCTCAAAATAGAACGGAAAATTTTTGAGAAACAATTAAAAAAAATAATATTTTGTTATGACATTTTTCAAAAGCTAGTTTTCAAGGATGAAGATGTTTTATCAGCATTTAATCTTTGGTTTATACAGACAGAACAAAATTGTCTTTAAAACTTCGACTTTACGCAATTTTAATAAGGTTTAAAATCTATTGAAGTTTATTACGGTAGCTCGAAGTGCTGTCAGTTAAACTTACTTATATTTTGTACTCCATCCCACTGCAATATGCTCATGGCTTCGTTCGAGTACATTAGCCAGGAGAGGTGGCGAATCCAGGATACGTATTTTGGCATTGAACTGAAAAAAGAAATTAAGATAAAATCTTATTAAGTTTATAAATGCGAACGATTGTGATTTTGTATGTATGTTTGTAACTTAATTAGAATTAAGTGTGAGAGAGCCATGATTCGGCACGAATGGGCCGGGTCGACCGGAGTGATACCACGGCCGTGCAGAAAACCGACGTGAATCAACGTTGTGTTGTGTTTCGTCGTGTGAGTGAGGTTACCGGAGGCTGCCCAGTCTCTCCAATCCCCGAATCCCCTATCCCCAAATTCCCAAAACGCCGGTAACGCACTTTTAACGCCTCTGGTGTTTGTCTGTGCAGGTGTCCATGGGCGACGCTGATTGCTTACCATCAGGTGATCCGTCTGCTCGTTTACCGGCTGAAGGGATTGGGATAAAATTTTGATCGTGATGGGTAGATTATGGTGTGGAATAACACATTTGATTTATCAACTTAAAATACTAATAGCTAAAATATTTATACCTTAAAAAATTATAAAAATGTTATCTTTTTTGACCTTAAAAAAAGATAACATTTTTATTATTTAAATATTTTAAATTTTAGTTATTTGTATTTTAATGTGTAGGTATATATTTATTCATATTTAAGTTATTTATAATTATATGTACAGGGATAAGTATCCTCTCTGTACTCCTTCATTGAAGATATTTATGATTATTCAAAAAGACAGATTTTTGGTAAATGGGTTTTGTTTGTATTATAGTGGCTCGGAGGTTTAACACCTTACCCTACCCCCTTAACCCAAAACCTACCAACGGCAAGTACCAATGTGAGTTTTTCCGAGTTATATGTACTTTCTAAGATTATTTAAACACTACTGACAAACGGTGAAGGAAAACGTTCGTGAGGAAACCTGAGCTTACAATTTCTAATTATAAGTTTCGCACTGAGCTAGCGTGGTGATAAATGCTCAAACCTTCTTCGTTTGAAGAGGCAGGCGTTTGGTCAGCAGTGGCCACTTATAGACTGCTGATGTGATTTGATGTGGTTTCCAATTCAATTGACTTAGGTATTTATCTTGCTTTACCAGGTCAGTGTTGAAACCAACCTCAACGTCAATGCAATATCACTCCAATAAAATCTCAATAATTATTCTATACAACCCTAATGTTAGCTGTTAAATATCATTCAGGGTACGGAATATAAAGCCAAACGCAATACCATTTAGTTCATTCAATATCCACGCAATACGCATGGAATGGGCGCTAGGGTTGCAACTCAAGAGTACATAATTTCTAAATACCAATGTCGATCGATCGACGATCGGAATTGGTTTCAAGAGTAAGCCAAGCCACCTGGTAAACATTATTTAAAGAAAATGTCTAATAAATTTTTATGTGCGTACAAAATTGTCCGTAATATATATTATATTCGATTGTACCTATTATAAATAATTTTAAATTTAAACGGTTGAGTTTATAGACCCGGAATTATTTTTTTTTTTTTTCAAGTGCTAAAATAATGGTTTGAATTTTTGTATAATAAAATCATTACTGGCATTGGCACAATCCAAATTGCAGAATAAAAGCTACAAAATAAATAAAAAATAGTAATGATTGTGTTGATATCAAAAAACAAGAATTTTAAATGTTAATAAATATTTTTTTACACTATTAACATCTAAGACCCACGTATTAAAGGTGTTCTTTTAATATTGTATTTAAATTATATTTGGATTAGGTACTTTCCTATTACATATAGTATATACATATACATATTTTATTGTTAGGTACAATAAAATATTTGTCATGATTGGGACGATTTGTACATATATCTTATCATTTTTAGGTTGTTGGAGAGTTGCTGTAGTTGTTTTTATTTCAGGATTTAAAAGCATTGTGTGCGTAGTCGATCTACAGGACAGGCAAAGATAATAAAAATAATAGATTAATTTTATCAATAAACAGGCAAATTAAGAAACCTCCTTTTTAAAAATCGGTATAAAATTAATTCTATATTTAATTTTACAAGTCAAGAAACCAATAAGAATGATGTCAATAAGTGACAATATGACAGTTGACAAAACAGAATTAAAAGGCCGCTTTATATGCCTGCGAGCGGCTCCGAGCGTACGGCGCGTCGCGTTCCGCGCGCGCCTCAAAGAACCATCAGACCACCACAGATGGGGCCCAACAGGGCCGATGCCGATTCGGAGTCGCGGAAACCTAACGGGTTACCGGGGCTCCGGCTCGAAGTGCAGGAGTAGGAACGGGGTGGTTTTTAGTGAGTAACAGTCTGACACTCCCTCCCGCGTCACTCCGGCGAGATAATTCAATGATTTTCCCCCTTAAAAAAAGCCTGCGAGCGGCAACTCTAGTTCTCGTTGATTGATGACCTTGATGACTCTAATGCTACAGATGAACATCTGTTCATACACGGCAAATGATTTACAGGTACAGGTCTTAAGCTTGTTTGCTGTATAAATAAATAAATAAATAATATACAAAAATAATAATAGATCATCTTTGCAATTCTGATTTCTTGTCACTGTCACTAGGTAACAAGTAACATTTACGATTCTCAGAATAACACTGTTCATTAGAGCCTGTTCTCACTTATCCGATTTGTCTTTTATAATAATAGACGGATGTGCAGCAGTACAATTTGTATGGAGCTGTTCACAGTCCACAGTATGATCCGGGAAAAAAGATTGATCCAAGTTATTTGACGGACGCTTTGCAACTAAGACGATCAGTCAAAACGTCCGGATCGGATGAGTATATACGAACGTTTTGTGTACATCATCAATAGTCTGTTTTTGGACATACTTAAGTGTGTCTAATATCACGCTACTCAATCGTCAGTGGTTTCAGCTCAATCGTCAGTGGTTTCAGCTTCGCGCATTTAATCACTAAGTACCATCTCCTCTTTGTAGATATCGTTACTCTATATAGTTGGACGACGATTCATCAACAACAACCTATTAGTTTTTTTTTTTTTTTTTGAGCGGGATCATCATCATCCTATTATATCTACCACCCGGGTGAGGCGAGAGGAAGTGTTAGACCCTTACTGACTAAAAACCATCCCGTTCCTACTTCTGCTCTTCGAGCCGCAGCCCCAGCAATCCGTTAAGTTTTTCGCGGTTCCGTAACCTATTAGTATTTTTTTTTAAGGGGGGAAAATCACCGAATGTCTTCTCCCGCCTGGGTGAAGCGGGAGGGAGTGTCAGACTCTTACTGACTAAAAACCACCCCGTTCCTACTCCTGCACTTTCAAGCTGGAGACAACCTATGAGTCTACTGCTGCATTATGGGTCTCTTCTATAAAAGTGTGGTTTTCCAACCATTCCATGTGGTTTAGCAGGCAGGTTGCAGACCTCAGTTTAAGAGAAACCGGATTATCAGATGACGCTGCTGCCTGGTCTCTGTTCCATATGTTGTTCCTCTGCTCTTAAGACACCCAAGGAAAGAAAAGGGGTGTTGACAAATGTATTTGAATCTATCGACACCGCGTAACTAATATTACGATCGTGATATTTACCTTAATTTAATGAAGAGCCCAGAGGTCATCATGAGAGCGTAGTCGAAGGGTACCAGGTACGCTATCGCTACTGGCATCGAACCGAACGCACACGAGAAGAATGATCCTGAAATAAAACACAGAGAATAAATGGCTACCCTAATTAGGGCTAACGTTTTTTTGCCCACCAGATGGCGCAAATGTACAAACACGTTTTTGTCCAATCACAGCAGCTGTCAAATCTTGAACATCTAATGGTGTGTGTGACACTAGCTATTTCCCTATTGGACGAAGAACGAGAATTGCACAGTAGTGGCATCTGGTTGGCAAAAATACGGTAGGCCCCATTATGATTTAACTAAGTTTTACTTTTCTTTTGTTTATGTTTTATTGTTGTAAATATGTCAGTTACTGTAATTGGATTTTTCTGCCGTTGTGACTGTTAAAAAAAAATATTTTAGTCTGCCACGGACCCAAGTCGAGTGGTCAGTCAACATATCCAAATGAGATGAGCCATTCGAGATTTGTATTCCTATGTCGTAAGTGTGTATATTCTAATTTGATCTGCTTTATTCTTCTTGATTATTATACTGATGGCAATGAATATTGTTGATAATCTAAATCAGGACTACACCTGCAGCCGGAATTCAAAAATGTTTATTTTCTATTTATATTTGGGTAACTGATATTTTCATTGAATTACCTTGTATTTCGGTAGCAAATCTAAATGTCATTTTATCTGTATTAAATTATAGCTTAATCATTTTATTAGCGGTATTAAAAAAAACTAATGAATGTCAAAAGATATTTGTCTAGACCCCAGGTGTTTTAGATAACTAGGTAGACGAATTACCTGCTTAAGTAAATGTGCTATATTAATAAGTTTAATTTTAGACTTTCAAATTCAAGTTATACTTAGTTTACATCAAGTTGTACATATATACGGTTGTTTAAGCGAATCTTTGAATTAAAATAAAACCTTCTTACTTAACAACAAGGCGTTTGTTATTGGGTACTTTCCTTAATTTAAAATAAATTATTTTGACTGTTCAATACAATAAAATATTAACAAACAATCACAGTTTCATTAATTAATTTTATGACAAACTTAATTTAAGTATTTTTCTAGTAAATCTTTAAGAAATAAGTATACTGTTTGACGCTAAAAAAACGTTACGTCACAATACATAGTTTCGTACAAAATTCATAGAAAACTGTCAGTTTTGACAGTTCGAAAAAAGTATTGAATTTGAATAGTTGCCAAGTACCCAATTGAGAATAGTACCTATTTGAAATGTTTAAAAAAGTACGAGACGGACATTAAACTTAATTTAAGTCACCGCTATTCTATTTCATGTTCAGTCTCGTCTCGAATCTGAATAAACCGTTGCTTAGAGGCCTAGGTACAAGTTAGTTTTATGTTAAAAGTAATCGAAACGAGACGGCGTTCGGTGCTCTGAGCTTGTCTTACGTTTTGTTTTTTTTTTTTTTTTAAAGGGGGAAAATCATCGAATGACTGCTCCCGCCTGGGTGAGGCGGAAGGGAGTGTCAGACTCTTACTGACTGAAAACCACCCCGTTCCTTCTCCTACACGTCGAGCCGGAGCCCCGGTTACCCGTTAGGTTCTCCGCAACGAGCTTGTTTTACGTTAAAAGTAATCGTAACGAGTACGCGTCCCGCGTTCTGATTGGTTTGTTCATTGGCACCGGCCAATCACAGCGCCGAACGCGTTCTCGTTTTGATTACTTGAAACGTAAAAGAAACTCGTCCTAAAGCCTCTGATTGGTTAGTTCATTGGAGCCGGCCAATCAGAGCGCCGAACGCGTAGGTACTTGTTTCGATTACTTTAAACGTGAAACAAACTTGTACCAGGCCTCTGAACCCAATCAAGTCGGAAAAAAGTCAAAAAATGGTTTAACTTCCTTAAAAAACATCGTCAATTACCTTATTATGATTAGACTTACCGCAAGAGTAGTGTATAATTGGGGTTTCTGGATCAAAAGAGATCCATCCACCCCAATTATACATTAATTTAAATGAGACATCTATTCAAATAATGTAATTCATTTATTCAAATACCACTTTTAATCTGATATGCATTTAAATAATATAATTTTATTTATTCAAATACCACTACTAATTACAATTTGATACTTCAAAAACTATTATTCCATTTATTTGAACACTGTTACATCATTTCAAGTACATCATCTATTTACACAAATATACCTATTGATACTTCAAAAACTAGTACATAAACCATCTTATTCGAATACTGTTACATAATTTCAAATAAACTATCTATTCAAATCAACTAGAAACCAAAACAAAACAACCTTTATAAATCAATTTTTATTTTAATCACTGTATACAGTAATTAAAAAATATTTTCCATATTTTCTTGTATTTTGAATATGAGGTCCTTAGTCGACTGATATATGACATCCATATTATTTTTCACGACGTGTTGCACGCACAAATCAGCCTTGCATTTACATATATTCTGTTGACGGTCTTCAAAACTTTTTGCATCGTATATTTCGATACGGATAACTTTTGAACCCTTGACAGGTCGCTTCACATAACTATATAACGTTTCATCATTGCTTCTCTTTCGATTTCCACCATCGCTAACGTCTTTTTGCATTTGCAGATTTTCCATAGGGATGAAATTGAATAGTAAATCTTCGGAATCCTGAAATGAATGAATGAATTATTAAATACATAATATAAATATCATTAATTATAGTTTTTATATATTTGAGAAGACAATGTTAATACAATTTAAGAAAAAAGATCCGAATAATATTTACCGACATCAAAGTGTACCTATACGCCTTGCCCACCTGATTTGATAATAGCTACTTTTTTCATTTTTCCACCACATTTATATTATATTTATTTGCAAGTTTCTAAGGTTGAAAATTGAACGTATTTATGACATTTAATACACTTGACTAAATATGGTTCGTTGAAATAGGATTCTCCCGACGGACCGACGCCTGCACTATTTTGTTTACTATAATTATATACTAATAATAAAGATCTGAATATACTTTTGTTTGCTGAAGACGTTATCGTACATTTACCATGATGATAAATCACAAGTAAAGTTGGAGTAGGAAACTAGTCCTATGATTACTAATAGCTGTACTAATTTAAGTTAAAATCTTAATTACATGTGTTTAATGTTGAGAATCAAACTTAACAATAACAATGCTAGGTAAGCATTTTTCTCATTTTGGAGTCTTAGATTTGACTCAGGATTTTCATCCGAATTTACTTTCCGTATAAGGATTAAAGTGACGTAAATTTATTGGTATTTAAATCGGTACGTGGGCATCTGGAGCATTACTGCTTAATCCCCAGAGCTGGTATCAACAACGAAGGCACTGCATAAAAATGTAAGTTTTAATTATAATATTATAATAAAATAGTTTGTTTTAGTTTTCGATAACCACATCTATTCATTTATTATAACTGCACAGTGCTTCACTCATATTTAATAAATTAATAATTAAATGAATAATAACAGTTATTATTATTATTATTACATTAAAACTAGTGTTTAGTTTTGTATACTTCATATTCATGTTTTCACTGATTCAATTCATTAATATCAACATGTCTATTCTTTTATTAAAATCGATAATAGTGTTTCAGTACACAGTACTTTCATTCGTATTTACATTACATGTTAAAGTATAACATAAATATATGTGGTATAAATATATTTTTTTTATTTCAGGTCGTCACAACGTGGAAATGCTGAAGCTTTGTTCCCATCAGACGATGAAGTGCAACAGCGGCCTGACCCGGAGAAAATGAAGCAGAAGAAGAGAAAACATACGTCTTCGTCGTCATTAATATCTGCGCCGAGTACATCCAGGGAGAGTCCAGCTCCCGCTCGTGTCACATCACCACCACCGGTAAAAGTCAAGAAACCTGCTATCAAGCCTATCCCACCGAAGAAAGCAACGGTCCGGGATATCTTCGGAACCGACAGCGAAGATGAAGACCAGGATCAACCTGTTACTGGTAAACCTATTCAGTTGTTGCAGTCATATATGACTCGAAGGCTTGCTAATGGGCACTCTCGCCAAACATGTGACACCAAAAAAGGGTCACACTATATTGAACTAAAGGTATACAGTTGCAACGAAATTGAAAAGGTGACGCCTATGAATCGGTGGCGCCACGCTATTGTTTGCGTGAAAAACAAAACAGACGAAAACACGGAAGCGTGGCAACATCTTAGTAACTTCATAACTGCCACGAGGAAGGAATTTAGGAACTGTCCAGTGAATTTTATCAGCAATTATTATTAAATGTACTTAATAATAATAATAATTGCTGATTTGGTATATCATATCTAGATTTTAATTAGGTGATAGGATTAGATACTTTTTGTAGGAGGTGTATATCCCTACATCCATAATTATATTCATGTAGTTATTATTATTATTTTAATCGCATATTTACTCATATTGAATATATCCAAATCTTCTCTTACTTTACTTTACTCTTGTATCACTTATCTAAATGAAATAAATATAATTATACGCTAATATTAATGTGTTGTGTTTTTTTTTCTTACAGTTCCTTCAAGTTCTGTCATCAGATCTAATAATAATTTATTGAAATGTGTTCACTGTCAAATTGAAATACCGAAAAACGAATATCAATATCATATAAGAACTAATTTACATAAATCGAATAGCATACTGAAATCTGAATTTAAGAATATCGATATCATTGCTACAGCTTTTAAAAACAGAATAATAACTTACAGACTTAATCCATCAGAGATGTATCTCACACCAGAGGTATTCTTAATAGATAATCAGAAAGATGTAATGAATTTATTGAATGTTTGTCTTAAGAAACATAACTGTATTAAAGTGAACTTTGAACTTTTCGCTTACTTTGTTCTGCCATCAACTGGTGAACATGAACTGAAATCATTTAATAGTAAATATGAATTAGTTTATCATAGTACTGATATAAATGATCTATATTTAAATTTAATAAATACTTTTAATAGAAAACTATCTGAATTTCAACACCGTGAATCTGGCTGGTCTTGCCTCCTTATAAATCATCTGGAGATTAATGTAAATAAATATAATCCTTTAAGAGGTGGATCATATATAGAATTGCCAAATGTACTTAAACGATCTAAAAGCTGTATTAACATACAAAACAATGATAATCATTGCTTCCTATGGAGTATTGTGGCAGCATTATTTCCACAAAAGAGAAATGTTTGTAGAACAAAATCATATCCACACTATTCTACAGTACTAAATGTAAGTGATATGATGTTTCCACCATCAAACCCAGATATTAGACATTTCGAAAAAATAAATTCCGACATAAGTGTGAATATTTATGGCTTAGATAGCAAACACATTGTAACTGGCCCTTTATATGTCACTAAATCAAGAAAGCGTAATCATGTAAATTTATTATATATTGAAAAAAATGGAAAAGGTCACTATTGTTTAATCAAAGACCTTTTACGACTAGTGAAACGGCAAATTACTCATCACAAAGGTAAAATGTTTTTTTGTGATTTATGTTTACAATGTTTTGCAAGCTCGAAGAAGTACAACTCACATATATGTAATAAACTACGGACAGTACTGCCGGGTAAAAATACTATTCTACAGTTTAAAAATTATGAAAAGCAACAAAAAATAAACTTTGTTATTTATGCAGACTTTGAAAGCCTTCTATTAAATCGTAATGATCTTATAACGGAGAATACTCGAATATATAAAGCTCATCAACCCTCTTGTTTCGGTTATTATATTTGTTGCTCACACGACCGCAGTTTGAATAAATATGTGACGTATAGAGGTCCAGATTGTGTAGAAAAATTTGTTACATATTTGCTAAGCGACATGGAAATGATTTATAATATATTATCAAAAGAGCTGCCTATGTCACCTTTAACAAAAGATCAAGAAAAAAACTTTAATAACGCCACCGTGTGTTACATATGTAAACAACTATTATTTGATGATAAGGTGAGAGATCATGATCATGTGACATCGCAATACCGAGGTGCTGCACATTCTCATTGTAACATAATGCACAGAGTTTGTTCATTTGTGCCAGTGGTTTTTCATAACTTGGCTGGTTATGACTGTCATCTTTTCATCAAAGAACTGGCAAAATATGAAGGTTATTTTAAAATAATACCGAAAACTAAAGAAAAATATATCTCTTACTAAAATAATTCAAACCAAACAGATAAAATTTATCGATTCTCTCCAGTTCCTTAACTCAAGCTTGGATGTCTTATCTAGAAATTTAAATGATGATGAGTTCATACATTTATCGGATGAATTTCACGACGCGGACTTGTTGAAATTATTGCAACGTAAGGGTATTTACCCTTACGATTATATGGATTCTTTTTCAAAATATGATGAAAATTGTTTACCCCCGAAAGAATGTTTTTATAATAGTTTAAAATATGAACACATAACCGATGACGATTACAAGCACGCGAAACAAATATGGCAAAGTTTTAAATTAAAATCTCTTGGAGAGTATACAGACTTATATTTAAAAACTGATGTTTTGTTACTTTGCGATATATTTGAAAATTTTAGAGACACTTGCTTACGATATTATAATCTTGATCCAGCTTATTATACCACTGCACCGAGCTTGAGTTGGGATGCCATGATGTTGTATACAAAGGTCCAATTAGAGCTAATTAGTGATTTAGAAATTTATGAATTACTGGAAAAGGGGATACGGGGAGGGTTAGCTCAGTGTTCTCTTCGTAATGCAAAGGCTAATAATAAATACTTACCGAATTTTGATGGCTCTCAGGAATCAACTTTTTTGATATATCTCGACTGTAATAATTTATATGGATATGCGATGACAAAAAAATTGCCAATATCTGACTTCCGGTTTTTGTCACCTGCTGAAATATATGCAATTAATATAACCAATGAACCGGATGACTCAGATTATGGATATATTTTAGAAGTCGATTTGTCTTACCCAGATCATTTACATAAACATCACCAGGATTTACCTTTTGCTCCAGAAAAGTTTATTCCTCCAGATGGTAAAACTCCAAAATTAATTGCAAGCCTGTACGATAAATTCAAATATGTCATACATTACGTTCATTTAAAAGAATGTTTAAAGAATGGTCTTGTTTTGAAAAAAATTCACCGTGTACTCACATTTAGACAAGAAAACTTTTTACAGGAATACATTGACTTGAATACTCATTTACGTCAAAGATCAACGTCATCGTTTGAAAAAAACTTATTTAAACTGATGAATAATGCGATTTTTGGTAAAACTATTGAAAATAGACGAAAACAGGTAAATATTAAATTAGCTACTACTTGGAATGACAAGAACAATAAGACAAACAAACATCTTAGTGCTGTAAACTTAATTTCAAAACCTAACTTCAAAAACATAACAATATTTTCTAAAAACTTTGTAGGTATTCATTTAAGCCCCGAAAAATTAAATCTCGACAGACCCATATATATTGGTTTTACGGTTTTAGAGTACGCAAAACAGCATTTGTATAAGTTTCACTATGATTATATAAAAAACAAATATAAAAACAAAGCAAGGTTGTGTTATACTGATACTGATAGTTTGCTTTATTTTATAAAAACACCAGATTTATACCAAGATATGAAACAAGACATTTCAAATTTTGATACCAGTAATTTTGATGTAAACAATAGTTTTGAAATGCCTAGAGTCCACGCACAAATCCCAGGCCTATTTAAAGATGAGCTCGCGGGTGACATTATTACAGAATTTACTGGGCTTAGAGCTAAACTATACTGTATAAAAAGTTTAAATGGGGAAACTAGAAAAGCCAAGGGTGTCAATAAGTCAATCACAAAGCGATTACGATTATATAATTATAAAAAGCTCTACTTAGTGACAGTACATTTAAATGCAAGATGAACACTATTAAATCTATAAAACATATGTTGTTTTCTCAGGAAATAAATAAAATAGTTATTAATAGAACTGATGATAAGAGACAGATACTATTAAATCAAATAGATACATTACCATGGGGTCATTG